TAATAATAATAAAATAATTCTATGCAGTTTTTTGTTTGCTTGTTTTATTTTTGTTGTTGTTTTTTTGTTATTGTTTTTTTTTTACCAATGTAAGCTTTTCGAAGCACTTTAAAAACTTGTTTCTGAAAAGACTCAGCAGCACAAATACATTTTACTACTAGTGTTATATAGGATAAACTGCATGAATTGCCTCACTTTGAAGGGGTTAGCCCTCTCAACTCTTTCAACTTTGATTCATGCTTTCCCTGTAGTTTAGACTAAATTTGGACTTTTTCCAATGTACTCTGCATTTAGCTGAAAAATATTATTTCAGCAAATATAATTACCATTATGTACTATTTTCGCAACAAAAAAAAAAAAGAAAAGAAAAAAAAAGAAAGAAGCTAACCTGGCAATTGTTTTACTTTGGAGTATTTGGCGTTTGGGAATGCACATTGAATTAGAACCAGATGTTAGAGACAGGAGGGAGATGTAGCAGCCTGCTGGCCTACTTTTTAAGTTAAAACCGGTTAAAATAGCTCTGCACAGGAAGGTTATGGTCAGGCTCAGTCACTGCTGGTGTGAAAGTGGCCGGAGGAGGAAAGATGAGTAAAGAGTAACGAAGGGGAAAAAAGGGCTGAGCGTCTTCTACTGAAGTCCAGGAAGTCTGAAACCGCTACGTTTGCAAAAACTATGAGGGATAGTGGATGGACAGAAAAAAATCTACCCGGTTAACCTTTGAACCGTCTTCCTTTCTCTTCACATGAAGTCACAAGACAAACTGTCGTATAATTTCACGAATGACAGTCCTAACGGTAAGCAGGCACACGCTGTGAGTTTAGCAAGTTTTAGGACTAATTTTGTGTCCGCGGGTTAACAAAACACTCCAGGGAAGGAGAGGAGAGGACTGAGGGAAGGTGTTTGGCACAGAGGAGCTGGAAAGCGGGTGGTTTGTGTTCTTAAATCTTGCTGGTCGTTTACATTTTTCCTAGAGGTAATAATGAATCCTGGAACCAGTTGCTCATTTCTTGCTAGTAGGTTTTGCATTAACGGCTAATCAAAGCAACGCTCTCTGTGTAATTAGTTCAAGGAAGCATGAAATCCTGGAGCCTCAGTATCAGTTCAAGGATAAAAGTGTTTGTTTCTTTCTTTTAATCAGTGACAGGATGTACGTTAGAGACTGGTATCAATAGACACTAATTTAGGACAGGACACAACGATTTTGTCCTTGTCTTCCCTGTCTGTTTTACATTGTAACCCTGCAGCAACATGCCGAACAGTGGAGTTTAAATCTTTAATCTTAGTTTCTTTTTCAAATGCAGAGACAACACGTTCAGAGCAAAGCCAGAAGTAGGACACACACATCATGTCTGTCCATTTCAGTCCAGGGTCGGATTCAGGTGTAAATGGGTAATTTTTCATAGGAATATTAACCTTTTTATCTGTGGGTGTGTGTGTGTGTGTGTGTGTGTGTGTGTGTGTGTGTGTTTACAGCACCTTGTAATGTTTGAACTGCAGCTGTTGCTTTACATGTGACTGTTTCGCATGGTTTTGTGTTGTTTTTTGCTAAGATGTCAGTCTTGTTTGTGTTATCTACCCATCTCTTAGAAACGTAGCAAAGATGGAGGATGCTAAAGTGGAGATCGATGATGGAAAGGAGGAGAGTGTGGTGCCAGACACAATGTACCAGTAAGTTTATACATTTTTGACTGCAGACAGCGTTGTAAACATCCCTTTTTTCAGAAGCGCATTCACCTGTAACAACAAGCATTACCCTTTTTCCTCCTTTGCAGCAATATCCGGAAGAAGATATCACCATTTGTTATGTCCTTCGGATTCCGGTGAGTGTGTTTGGGAATTCCTTTGGAGAGATATTGTGTAACCTTGAGTGATAACTGCTTATGATGTTTTTTTTAATTTCCTTGATGGTGTTTGATGTTGATGGTGCTATGTCTTTTCCTCCAGTATATTTGGAATGATATTGATCCTAGTGGACATTGTCCTGGTGATTGTGGACATATCCCTGCCAGCCAAGAACAGAGAGGTTGGAGATGCGTTAGAGGCTGTGTCCCTCGTCATCTCCTTCTTCTTTCTCCTCGACGTTCTCCTGCGGGTCTATGTGGAAGGGTGAGTTGAGAAAGGAAGTTTATGATAGTCAGCACCCTGTCATGATCAAGAAGTCATATGGGTTAGACAAATTTTTATGATCTTGGCAACTCCCCCTCCAGTCTTTAATTTTGTGTTTATTATACACGTCGTGGGTGGATACAGTACCAACACTTGTGCAATCTAATGCATTCTTCATATTCCCTGCACTCTTGCAATAAATCTTACTTTTGTGAAGTTGCCAATGTTAATTATTAGATGACACTGTGTTAAAAGTAACAGTAACAGTATATTGTAAGCTCTCCTCCATGCTAGAACCGCTTGCTTGTGAATGTGAGAGCAAGAAAATTTTCAGTGATGCAAACATTCCTAGAGTCCTGTGTCAGCAGAAACCAAGTGATTATCTGTTAGACAGGACGTTATGAAGAGGAAGCTCAACAGGAAATGTATGGCATGTACTGGGCTGGTCCTTGGCAAACATAATGACTAAAAGGACTAGCACAGTGTCACTAAATAAATCCAGTCAGCTTGTTGCATGACCTAGGCAGTTTTCTCAACAGCATGTTTTAAGTGTCTTGTGCGACCTTTTAGGTTCAAAGTGTACTTCAGCTCCAAGCTGAACATCGTAGATGCCTGTGTTGTGGTAATCACCCTGGTGGTCACCATGATCTACACCTTCACTGACTTCTCGGGCGTCAATATCATCCCCAGGTACTTCTTCTCTCCCCTGCATGAAATCTTACTAGACATGGCTCATACAGTTTTTTTAGACACTTGGTTCCTTTATAGTAAATAAAGAATAATATAAGTACATGGAATATTTAAATTTGCATTTATAATGATTAGGTTAAGCCCTGATTACATGGAGATCCTTTTGTAATGATACTCATTATTAATCTTATACTGATTTAAAGACCTACACGGCCATAGTCCACACACACACACACACACACACACACACACACACACACACACACACACACACACACACACACACACACATTGGTAAATCCCTGTCATCCTCTGTGAAGATGACCTGCGTACCTCAGGGGTCTGTCCTTGAATCTCTCTTGTTCTCTTTATACATGTTACCATTGGGGCCTGTCATCAGCAAGCATAATGTCAGCTTTCATTGTCATGCAGATGACAGTTGTAAAATGAATAAACGCATTGACTGCATCATTGACCTCAAATGCTACATGGCCCAGAACTTCCTTCAGCTAAATATTGATAAGACTGAGGTAATTACTGTTGGCCCTGACACAGTTATTGCTTATACCTCAAAGCACCTGGGCTCTGCCCTAGCAGATGGCTGTAAAAATCTTAGTGTCACCTGTGATAACCACGTTAGCTTGAAGCATGTCAACACAGCTGTTCAGTCGTGTTTTTCTGCAGCTCAAGAGACACTCCAAGACCAGTCCAATTTTATCCAGTAGAAAGACCGTCATACATGATTTCATTTCCTCTCATTTGGACTACAGTAACTCTCTCTTTACAGGTCTCAGCCACCATAAGTCAGAGTCAACATAAATTACAGTTTATCCAAAAATGCAGCAGCCAGACTTCTCACTAAAGCCAAACAAGAAAGCACATTACTCCCATTTTAGCTTCATTTAATTGGCTTACAGTAAATTCTGGAACTGATTTTAAGATGTTACTGATGACTTTTAAGGCCCGTTCTGGACTTGCACCTACTGTAAGTACATCTCAGATCTTATGACACTATACCAACCTGAGGTCTTCAGCGAAAGCTCTGGTAGCCACCCCACGATCACAGCTGAAGACCTTATTGAAGATTCTTATTATATTGATTATTTTGCTCATTTTAGAATGTTCTTTTATTTTACTGTACCTCATTTGTAGCCCTTTTGCTCATATTTCTTCCCCAATGTTGTATAGACTTTAAACTGTTTTTAAATTGTTTTCCAGTGTTTGTCCTTCATTTTTTATCTTGTCTTGCAAAGCACTTTGTAACTGTGTTTTATTATTATACATATTATATGATGTTCATATTCATGGGTATTTTTTTTTTTTCAGGGTGGTGACGTTTCTTCGTTTCCTGAGAATAATAATCCTGGTGAGGGTTTTCAGACTGGCAGCTCAGAAGAAAGAGCTGGAGAAGGTCACCAGGAGGATGGTGAGGTCACACCACAGAAACACAGAAAACTATGAAAATCTGATGTACTAAAGTCCTCTGGAGAATTGCAGCTGTGTGGCAATTGGGTTGGCAATAAGAGAGAAGATGTCTACTACTTCCTGATCCTTGACTTCTTGTTTTTCTCAGGTTTCTGAGAACAAGCGACGTTATCAGAAGGATGGATTTGACCTTGACCTTACCTATGTCACAGGTAATTGTTACATACTGTGTTACACAAAATAAAACAAGAGATCACTAAAAATTAAATTCTTTAAGAAGTGGAACATTTGTTTGCATCTTTACCCACGTTTCTAGACCGGGTCATCGCCATGTCTTTCCCCTCTTCTGGGAAGCAGTCCTTCTATAGGAATCCAATTGAGGTAAATCTGGCTGGACTTGGGTCACACAGACACAGACTGTCTCTGTTTTCTGCTTCAGCATGCCTACCCCACTTTTTATACATTTATCAAAATTAATTCATTCATATGCATTGTTAACCTAGCTGTTGAAGAATTCATACACACCTTCGCTGGTGCCTGCTCCTCCTCTCTTTCTGCACAGACCGTGGCCAGATTCCTGGACACTAAACATGAAGGCCACTATAAAGTTTACAACCTGTGCAGTAAGTTAGCACCTCTTCTCGTCACATGTGTTCTTTCTCTCTATAAAACTACAAAAACCATGTATCATCTTTTTTTTTTTCCAGGTGAGAAAGGTTACGACCCTCAGTTCTTCCACTACAAAGTTGAGCGGGTTTTCATTGATGACCACAACGTCCCCTCCCTGGAGTAAGTAACATTTTCTTTAGTTATGTGTCATCTTTTTTGTTTCTCTTCCTTCTTTTGCTTGTAATCATATGAAGCCTTTAGATTACAGCTTGTTGTAATTGCGTGTTATTGATATAACCATGAAGAACTTCCTCACCACATTTGCACATTCGCTCTAGGCGTGTGTACTGACTGCAAACATTTCTCTAAGGCATTGTGAACACACACAGAAACAGAATGTGTCACAAACAAGCATCATTTGTACAATATCTTGTCAGCAAATTTCAGCGTCTTTATCACTGTGTGTTCTACTGTCTGTCTCAGGGACATGCTGAAATACACAGCAAACGTGAGGGAGTGGATGTCCGCCGATCCCAAGAACATCATTGCAATTCACTGTAAAGGAGGGAAAGGTGATGACGAACCTACTTGTTTCATTATGGTATTTATCGTCAATTATTTGAGTTAAACAAAGACACTCTTTGCTCTGTTTGACAGGACGCACAGGTACCATGGTGTGCGCCTGGCTTATTGACAGTGACCAGTTTGAGAGTGCACAGGTACATTTTTTTCAAGTTTGAGACTTGTTCAAGCAAGGGTTGATGAGTTAGCAACTACAGACTACTTCTTTACATTAATTTCTGTTTGTCCAACAGGACAGTCTGGAGTATTTCGGTGAGAGGAGGACAGACAAGAGTCGGAGCTCCAAGTTTCAGGGAGTAGAGACTCCCTCTCAGGTAAGAGCAAGTTAATCAGAGGCCATATTTACAATTACTATATTGTAAGTAATTTTGCCATTTTAGGACTAAACTCAAAGCTGCAATGTGTAGAATTGAATCATTCTGACTGGCGCCTTCCTGTGGTAGCATTAAAAAAAATGCACTGTGGCAGACAGGAGTAAAAGCAACACATAGGACACATTTTTACTTAAATCGTATTATTTTTCTACAGACATACATTTATGACATCAGAATAACATGATTAACAGCTTAAATTGAGTATTTAATAAGAAAAATTGTTATTGCCTTTGTTATTTTTATTATCTTTGTACATCTGTCATCTTTTTTTATTAATGAGAAATAGATTATTGAAAATCACTATTTATTTTTACTGTATGGCTTGATATCACCTAGCAGTATCATAGCAAGTTCCCTCACAAAATCTTAAACACAGACAATGAAGATGATTTATCTCTGTTGTGTCTGTGTGAACCACAGAGCCGGTACGTGGGGTACTATGAAATCATGAAAACCAAGTTCGACAGACAGCTGCCTCCACCTAAAAGCCTCAGGATCAAGAGCATCCGCATCCACTCCATAGCAGGTAAAACCCAGCCAACCAGGAGGGCACTCAATATATCTAACTTCATCCTTTTAAAACTTTTATTTTTTGTGCCTGTGTTAATATCTGTTGTGTGTGCTCTTACCCAGGTGTGGGTAAAGGTGATGGCAGCGATCTCAAGGTGAAGATTATTGTGAGAAAAGAGCTGGTATTTCAATGTGTGTGTGCCAAACGGGAGAACTGCACAGTAAGACTCACACTCACACATAAGGCACATACACTCATCAGGTCGTACTGATTCAGTTTGTAGATTGGGTGGGCAACGTATCTCTGGTGTTTCGTAGGTATTTCCCGACATGGGCAGTAATGCAGTAGTCATCAGCCTACAGGACGGGCCTGTGGTTGAAGGAGATGTGAAGGTCATGTTTGAATCAAGTGCTGTGAGTACTTAGCTTTACACCTTTCAAATACATATCTAAGCAAAAGTTCACATTTAGCCTAATTGTCCTATCGTTCCCTTTAGGGTCTTCCAAAAGGATATGAAGATGTTCCATTCTACTTCTGGTTCAACACCTCCTTCATAGAGGATAACAAGTATGTTTCTGTTTCCCTGATGCAAATCTTTCTGTTGCTCTTGACTCAAAAATTTCAGTTTCTGACTGTAAACTCTGCATTCCCTCCAAACTCTCCACAGACTGTTTCTACCCAGGGAGGAACTGGACAACCCACACAAACCCAAGACCTGGGACCTGTACAAGAACGACTTTGGTGTCACCATGTTCTTCTCAGAACCATAATAAAAGCCCTTTTGAACAATAAGGAAGAGAAAATGGCTTGTTACAGTTGTACATTTAATGATGGGTGGTGAGCAGAGACTAGTAGATCTAATACCAACTGAAGAAATGAACGAGAGCTCAATGCTAAATTTAAAGAGGCATAAATTACCTCCACCACCAGTTACCTCCACCAAGTCAAATCATGTAGACTGCAGTGTTGCTCATGACCTGAAATGTATAAGAAGAGATATGCGAGTTAGTAGCATCAAATATTTAGTAACGTCTTCCAGTGAATCAGTTGATATCTGTATATGTGACTCTTGTATGTCTTAAAATAACACTGAAATATCTAAAAAAGAATCAGAAAAACATTTGCACCTGATAAAACTATAATGCTGGAGCAAGTCATCCCCTCTGAACAATTTAGTCAAATTGAAACTAGCCATTTTGTAATGTACCACGTCTAGCTATGTCTTTATGTACTGAGTGGTTGATTAGTGGATGGAATCAAACCTGGGTGTACTCTGTGAGGCAGCAGTGGAAACCACAGGGGAGTTTACAAGAACAAAGGATGACATGAGAAACAGTACCAAGTTTTCTTATGTAGAGGCTCATAGAATGATGTGACACAGCTCCAGCTTATGTGTGATGGGACAGCTCCAGCTTATGTTTTGGAGGCAGCAGGAATTGAAGACATCTGTAGCTTTATTTGGTTTGAAAGTTTTTGTGAGAAAGGGGCGAAATTTGTGTAAATATTGCCAATAAAAGGGATTATATGCTGTGAATTTTTGTTCTTGTCATGACTTCTGGAGACGACTACACAGTGGATAAACTCAGTTCGTACAATAGAGAGAAAAAGTGCTGAAAAGTATTTGCTTTTACTTTTGAAAAATTTTAACCAATGTATTGCTAAAAAATAAACAACCCTTTAATTTGTAATCAGTATTTTTTCCTTCACAACAAATAAGTGGAGAAGTGTATCAGATTTCATCTTTTACTCATAATTTATACAATCTCTTTAAATTATTGCTCAATTTACAAGTTGCATTTCTTGTCATGCTCATGTTACACCACAGGTCACATTTAGATCAAGATCTGAAATTCTTCCCAAGCTTGTCACACTTTGGGTCAATCAAAATTGTTCTCTATTAAACCTAGAAGTTAACTAGCCAACAAAAGAATTAAAGTGCAGACAGAAGTAAACCTCAGTGAGAAATACTGATCCTCTTTTAGGTTTGAAGACTTCTTTGCTGAGGCAGATGGTGTCACGCATTAAGGTAGATACTAAGGTAGAACCTGACTGAAATCTCCACAACAGTGCCCACAGAGGACTGTCAAAATTTTTGGAGTTTAGATCCTGTATGCTGCAAAACATCTTAGCAAAACTCAGTCCTCAAATAATAAAGTCAGTGGCCTACTGAATGGTTTTACAAATCTTCAAATCCTATGAACATTGCATTGTGGGACAGGTAAAAAAAAAAAAAAGTCAGATAGTGGAAAGTTTGCTTTCGAAGTCATGACTATGTCCCAAGAAAGGATTTGATGAAATTTCCTGTGTGGAGAAAATCTGACGAAAGCATCCAAATTTTATGAAACCCATCCTCCCTGACACAAGGCACTCACTACAAAATCATGACAATCTTGAACAAAGCACTTAACCCCTGCTATTTTGTGCATTTCAAGCATTTAACAGAACATCATACTGGACACTTTCAAAGCAGCTTTAACACAATTGGCATTGCTAAACAACAACAGGCAACCCAAAGCCCTGTTGCCAAGCACAATAAGTGAAATGTTTTTGTAAAAACATTACTGGCAACACAAGGCATAACTCAGAACTCTTCAGACTCACCCTCAGGTTTTACAAAATCTACATAAACTGTTACAGTAATAAATGACAAACATACAACAATCCTTGTTGACCCACCAGCAACAGGAAGAATTAACTTTTTCTGGCTCAATTTCGTTTTTGGTCCTATTGCTTTTTCCCTATCCAATCATTCAGTCCAAACTTCCTCAGATCAACAAAGAGTTTTTCTGGCAGCCTTAACCAAGTTTCCTCCAAAACCATTGAGGAGGTCGCACTGCTCCAGCTCATCATAGCGCCCGCTTCGCAGAAAGCAAAGCACTGTGGTTTTGCAGGTCTCCTTGCAGGGCTCCGACACATGTCCTTTATGTCTGAAGTACCAGAACTTTTGGAAAACTCGGTCATCATTAATAAAGGTCCGAATCAGCCCATTGAAATCAGAAGGGAACAGACTGGAAAGACCATAGGCCTCAGTGGCGCGGTACAGCAGTGTCCATTTCGGGTTTGGTTCTGGGTTGAATGGCGCACCTGGACTGTGGTTTGCCTTTGTGAGGTTGAGGATGTAGGTTTCATGATCAAGCACAAGATGAGAGCTACCTTTGTAATTCCCATCAACATAGTAGACACGGTATCCTGGAAAGAGAAAAACAATACATTTTTTATTTAACTGTGTTGTTTGTTCCTTTTGAAATGTTAAGAGATCACTCTACTAGTTTATAAACTCACCTGGGTTAAGATTAACATAAGTAGTGGCACTGGGAGCAATGAATGCCACTCCCAATGGGCGGGTCAGCGTCATCTCATCGTAAAACATTTGGAATTCATCCAGATGTGTATGGCCAAAAAACTGTCCCGTAATTGTACTTTCATATCTGGGGAAAAGAATTAGTGAAAACTTTACAACCCGTCTCATCTGATAAGTTGCAAACAGTGTCGGGCTGTAACTACTGTATATATAATAAATATAAAAATAAGATAAAATACAAAATAAAGCTTCCAGTCCTGCTTACGAAAACAGACACACAAAACCACAGGATGCAACTTCTGTCCATGCAAATACACAAGCGGAAGTGAAACAAGTGTTGTTGGTAACAAGTCAACCACGTTTAATTATCTTCACATTAGTAATGATACCAAATTACTGATAAATTGGATTGATTACAATAAACTGAAATTACACTTAATATAGATGGGAGCTACAACAGACAAGTAGCATTTTTGGGGAAATGATTGTTCCGCATTACAGTCTGGTCTGAAACTTCACCAACAATCACACACAGCAAGAAATAACTGCTGAGTGCAGAGAATGTAATCTCCTTCCCTCAGTGACAACGCAGAGTAAACAGGGAACAAAATGACACTGCTACAGCAGTTGTCTTTACTGCACTACAACTTCAATTTGTAATAGTGCTGGGATTGTGCATCTTTAGGGTTAAATGATCAGTGCAGCTACCTGCTGACAATGTGATAGTAGTTCCAGCTCCAGCTTCCAAGACACAGGCCAGGTGGGATGTGACCAATAATATGTACCTAAATACCGGAGAAAATGACACCAGTTAGAGGATGATTATTGTACTAATCAAACAATATATTTTATTGCAATGTCATGCTCAGCACCAGTTGCTAGAGGGCAGTAAAATGAAAAAGATGGCAAGTCATCATCCAGATCTAGCATAAGACATGATATGTGTTCTTTCAGTTTGATAGTGTTAAGTGAACAAACTACCCTTCAGTCTTCTTTTCAACCCTAAACCTTCCCGTACTCTGCTGTGTTTATGTCATCTTTTGTTTTTGCTGCTCTACTCACCTTCTCTCCCTTGTCCTCACTGGCCTGGAGTACATGAACTAGCCACTGCAGCTGGTTAGCAGGGTCAGTAGAGTTCACCATCAGCCAGAAATTCTCTCGGGCACAAAAGTTCATGTTGAGGGACACCACTCTCAGACCAGGCTGAATCTCCACTGTGTAGAATCCTCCATATCTGAAATTAGACCCACAGACATAGTTGAAGGACAAATTTCCAAAATCTTTGTACAGGGAACAATATTCTGTGAAATGTGACCACTTCTGTTTGCAAATGAGTTAGAGCTAAGGTGAAGAACCAGCATCTGACATAAACACAGTTCCTACTTATCTAAAAATAAACCCTCTGCTTGACGTTCATTTTCATTTAGAAACAGCATTTACGTCTTATCTACAAGGTGACCTGACCAGCACAACAATGTCAACACACAACCAAATAACAGAAGTTTTGCATTTAGATAAAATAAAACATGAATATCAAGAACCTTAAAGTGATCAAAGCTTGCTCTGGTAACCATGCTGACCACTCCTCTGCCATTGTATTGTAGAGCCAGGCGGAGGATCTGTTACCATGTACAAAGGGTGGTGGGAAGCTGTTTACTGGCGTACTCTCATGGTTTCCTACGGCAGGGTAAACTGTCACATTAGGTCCCAGGTGCCTGCACAGAAAACAGAAAAAAAGAGAGTCAACAGCCATTTGGATCAATTCCAGGTAACACATGACAAACATCACATAAACATCCTGAATACAATCAACAGGCTGTGAGTCAGAGTACAAGAGCATTGGAGGTTAAATCCAAGCAACTGTGTTATCCAGACAATCCAATAGCAGCTGTTGATCACCCGCAACATGGCTGACAGGTCTGACATTTTCAACACTATGTTTCATCAGTTATTCTTTTAGAAACTACTCTGACAGGTCAGCTGCTGGTAAAGCTTTCTGCAGTAGTAACAGGACTACACATGCACTATGTTATGTGTGAAACGAGCAATTATCATTATCACGTGCCAAAAAACTCAAAGTTGATCTTAAAGGAAAATTACTTGTGGATGAGCCTGGAGATGACTGTAAGCTCTGACAGCTGTTGTTTCCTGGTCTGAGACCAAACATTGTGTGCTGGTATATCTCCGGTCCAGTAGACCCAGTCCCAGGGTCCGGTTCTGGCAGCATTTTCCAGGAGGTTCTCCACTGTACGCAGAGGCAGGTCACACTTACTGTAGGTTCCCCAGTACCCAGCCTCTCTCCGCCTCCAGCTGGGAGAGCCTGAGTCTTTACGACAACACAGAGGGTCCTTGCAGTCTGCAGCGCTGCCGGCTTCATACTCCTGTCAGTGGAGATAATTTTTTTTTTTTTTTTTTTTTTTAAAAGCAGGACTCGATCCAAAACAAAGTCAGGTGACCAAAATCATGCCACCCCCATTTTCCGTTTAGTCATTCCAGATTTCCTGGGAAACCTCCAATATCCTTTCAAGTAAATCAATAACTTCAACCTTTTGGATGGTATAACCCTGTCAACATGAAACTGCATTTAAAGCACCTACTTTCAGAAAGACCAACTTTAAAGGCGCTACAAAAAATCTAGGATGTTGTCACACATCTAAAAAGATTTGTAAACCAGCACTTGCTATAATTACTTCAGTACAATTCTGCTTTGACTATCCTCTTAACAGCACACACTCACCTTGTCCCAGTGGATGTCAGTTAAAAACAGGATCCTGCTCTGTGGAGAGCCAGGTTTGGGAGGAGAGGGTGGTGCAACAGGGGGCTTAGGGACTTTTGGCAAGGTAATGTTCCAGGGTGCATAGATGTCAAATTTGCCACAGGAAGGCCCCACCAGCAGGGCGCACGCTTCACTGGGCCACAGCAGGGACTCCTGCAGGGCCCGGATGAAGTCATCCCTGAACAGCTCTGTTATTTCTCGACACACCAGCTCATCAGCCAGATGGAGACGGATACATGCCTCACCTACTGCACGTGCCACTCGCTCTTCATTTGTATCACTCTAGGAGAGGTTACAAAAAGGCAGAACAGAATCAAAGAAATGGATTGAAAAATATTGCTTCACTGTCTGAAGTTAAAACCTCAAACTTCCTGAAAAAGCAACAAAATTGAAATGAGCTTGAATCATATGAAAATTCCAATTTACTAAGCCGCAATATGGCACTCTATAACATGCACAAGTCACACTCTTGAATGAGTGCAGCATTTAAGTATAATAGTTACACTTTGAATGTGAACAATAAACAGTTTGGAAAGTGCGTTTCTGAGAACAACAGCTGTAGCTAATGTACAACAGTAACACTTGAGGTCCAAAAAGAGACCATATGATTGAGATATCTCAAGCAGATTTTTATGCTGTATAAATTTTGTGCTAAAGATTATGTCATTTACGAGGGACAGAAAAAGAAGTGGTCCTTCTCCATATGGGGCCCTTAGTGTCACATGCTGCATTTGCTTGCAAACTTGAGTAACCCTGTCTTGTAGAAGTCACAATAACATTTTTGTTAACCTATATTCAAAGCAGTATGTGCACTTTAAGCAACAAAATGTGAATTACTCACATTATTGTCATCACATTGTAATGAAGAATCACAATTAGATAAAGAAATTATCTTGAATTACGTAATTTTCAAACTGACAGACACTACAGCAATCAGTGAAATATTACCAAAAGATGAAGCAATAATTTAGCCCATAGTTCAGACTAGGCTGTCAGAAACCTTTAACTGGTTATAGACAGAACAAAAAGAAGTGAGCAAACAGAAGACAGGATTAACAATGATGTGTTGAATTGTTTTTGCATTATTCTGAGAGGTGTAGTCTATCATCATTCATGTAAAAATGATGTTTGCAGACAAAATATTACAAAACACCTCGATATGATGAAACACAATGCGACACAACCAAAAGTGCCGCTTCCAGAGTGACGGTAAAGTCCAATCGACACTTCTCTTGACAATATTTCACTTCTCTGAACAGTTGCAGAACAAACTGAAAAACAAGGCAGCATGTGCATTATTTTTATCTAGGTGTGTGAAGCAGATATGCTGTCAGAATTACTGTAATGTTTAGTTTTTTCACACCAGTGCATGCTTCCTTTCCTCTGTTTGCCCACTACTTATACTTTTATTCTGCTAATGAACAAGTTAAGATTTCTGACTTCCTGGACTTAACCGCGGGTCGCGGTTGGTTGAACTACAGTTGAATGATTTTACTGGTTGTAGCTTTTCTCAGTTTAATTACATTTAAGTTCATTATAGGAGCTATTTTAAAAGCCCATGGGATGTCACGCCTTGTAATGAGCACCAGCATCCTCTTTAGTAATCTGGGTAAAACATTTAGAAACTTTACCAGAAGGGCGATATCAAGGATGGTGAAGACTGCTTTGCACAGGGGGCAGGTGATATTTCTCCAATTAAATCCGAGGCGTGGACGGCTAAACTGCTCCATGAACACCAGGCTGGGCTGTCCTGAGGTCCGTGCTGGATGACAGGACGCTAACAGCGGCAACATTAGCACCAGTGTGCAGGTCATGAGCCCCAAAGAGGGCATCAGTGTGGGGAGCCTCATTGTCCTGACAGCAGGTGTCCCCCGGAGAAGTGTTTGTCGGCAGCCACTGGGTAAGACATGAACAAAACCACACAAAAAGCGGGGGGGCGTCAAGGAAGTGGTTTAACTTAACACTTAGCTTTGAGAATAAATGAGTCTCACACACCCGCAGACACAAACTTTTCCACTGTATGTGAACCGGCAAAACCCTGGTAACAAAGTAGCTAGCTAGCTACTCCTTTACCACTGTACCTCAGAAAAAAAGTGCTGTCGTCGTCTCCCCCACTTGGAGCAGTGAACACAGGCAGGTCAGGAGATTGAAGACAGTCGTGCTTCCACCTCCACAATGAGCAGAGGGAACAAGGTCGACGAGCCCGTCAGTCTGCAGCACACTGCTTGTTATGATACGACGCTCACTGTGCGATCTTGTGAAAGGCACAAAAAGTCAGCTGACTTATCACGTGCCCAAGTTTTTTTCTCTCCTTTCTTCCGCGAGCATATTTGTGACATTAACCGCAGCTGAGTTATCACTTAATTACACCTGCAGTTTTTGCGAGCAGAATGCATTGACTTTTCAGCCTCCCCCCACCATCACCATTTTGATCAGCATGTTTGTACTTTGTTTCCCTTTCAAGCTGCATCATGTCAGTCATACAATCTAGTACAAAAACAATCATAACCCCAAGTTACCTCTACTCCCATCTACTGCCAAATAAATATGATACTGCTATAAAATCCATCAGAGATTTAATTTGCTGTCATACACAGCTCCCAAAAAAGAGCAGTTATCTGCAAGTAAGCTGAGCTGCAGGTGAGTGGAAATAGTGTTTGACAGTTGAATAATCATCAATCATAGCTGGAGCTTTCAGCCCCATCTTGTGGCCTTCATCAGTGGATAGAGTTTGCCCAGCAGCAAACTGCGTCCACTGAAGAAAGCCACAGGATTTGGTCGAAAACTTTCCAGTAAGCTCAACTCTATTACTCTATTACTCTAAGTAAGCTATTTTTTTTAACTAACATGATCATTAAGAAAGATGATGTCTCAAAATAAAAGAACAAGGATTTGTCATAAATATAAAACATTTATTGCATTGGCATTTGTTAATGTGTAGAAAAGCAACACATTTCTTTGGATCAGTTTCTGAGCAATTGTGTCTTGACACATCACTGAATATAACCCTCACTGGACTGAAAAGATTGCCAGCATTTCAGTTTAAGCTATAATAAAAGAGCAACATAGCTAAAGAACATTTATACCTCAAATTTAAATTATACAAAAAAAGCAATATAATACTTATTGTTTGGATTGTGTAGCTTAAGTGGTCTCTGACATTATTTACAGCAGCTTAGCAGATACATGATTGAAGTGAAGATAAAGAGTGGTTTGATGATAAAAAACATAATAACAGGAGTGCACAAGTTGTTGCGGTTGCATTCACTTGTCTTGCATCTTCTCCAGGATGGGGACAATCATGTCAAACTTGGGTCTCTTGGCTGGGTCTTCGTTCATGCAGAGCCTCATTAGCTTACAGATATGAGGTGAAATCCCTGGAGGAATGGTGGGCCGAAGACCCTCGAGAGCCACCTGGGAAATGGAAAGTGAGATTCAAAGTCAGTGTTAATATTGTAATAACTTTCAACATTTCATTTTTTAAGCAGTATTTTTTTCCAAGAAATACACAGATACTGGATGTGAACATATGGTGTAGGCCTGTGGGTACATAAATGCTGCACCCACTTACCTTCATGCCTATCTCCATGTGTGAGAGGTCAGCAAAGGGGACCTCCCTGGTAACCAGCTCCCATAGTAACACTGCAAAGCTCCACATGTCAGCTGATCTCCTGTTGATGTCTTCAGGCCTCTTCTGCAGGGCTGAAAAAAAGAGGGACAAGGAAAACCATAAAACATAATGGAATAACTCGTAGAGTTTGTTTTTATCCTGTAACTTGGGCAACACACCAGATGAACAGCTTGACAGCCACTGAAGAGGGACTAAATTATATAGTACAGTATGACTCATAAAGTCTATGGAGGTATTATGGGAGCAGGATGTAGGCAGGAATGAGGAGAGCCAACAGGAACAAAAATGAATAACTACCTTCAGGGGCCATCCATGCTGGAGAGTACATACGACCAGGACACTGGAAGGAGAACTTTGCATCTGCCATGCTTATTCTGGCTGTCATGTCCTCATCAATCTGCAAATTCATCACATCAGCTTAATAGTGTGTTAGCGCCAGTGGCAGTAATAGACTAAGATCTTTCAGTGGTCAAAGACGGTACTTACCATGACGTGCTTACTGTTGAGGTAAAGCCGTGAAACCATTGGTTCTAAGGTGTGGAGGAAAGCCATGCCGCTGGCAATGTCCAATGCAAACTTCACTGCTTGGTTTTGATCGACCACCAGAGCTGAGAAAGGGAGGGAGGACAAAGACAGAGGAGGACAAGGAGACAAGAAGGGCCGGAGGGAAAAGTAAAGAGTACAGTGGGGTGAAGATGGTTGCGTGATGTCCTCCATCTACAGTAGCAATCCTCAGCCATAGTGCTTTGGGGATGGAATAAACCTCAATGCAAATTTTATCCATTTCCATTTCATACATGTGCTTGAATTACTTACTAGTGCCCTGGTGGAGTATGTTGTAGAGGGATCCGTAAGGCATATAGTGGGTAATGATGATGGGGTGAGGGGATGGAGGCGACTGACAGGCCCCGAGAACAGGCAGAATATTTGGATGAGAAAAGATCCTAGGGAGACGCGACAGACAGAGCAAGAACATGTGTGTAATGTTAAAAAAAAAAAGGAAGACAAAAGTAAGCATTTATATCTTCTTCAAAAAGGGAAGTCTTTCTCAGCTGATAAGGAATTAACCAGTTCAGAACATGAAGATAAGAAATGTCTCCTATAACTCGCTGCATGAAGGAAACTCTTCAACAATCCTTATTATTGTGCACCATTACAAGTTAAGCTGAACAGTAGTTTTTCTTTATCTGAAGCTCTTTCATTTTTGCAATCCATGTCAGATTTTATGTTGCCTCTGATTTTTTTTTTGTACTTTTACGTTGGCATCAATTCCCAAAAGAGGGCAAGAACTGAAGCCAACACGGAATCACACTGCCAAGTTCTTCCTATTGCACACTCAGCCTTCCTGGTGGGGGATCATTCTCTGACTTGGCCTGCTCAGAGGTTTCTCTCATTCTTGTTCTATTTAAGGTTTTGTTGCAAGTTTTTCTTTTCACTTCATGAGGGTCTGAGGCTGGTGGGACTGACTAAGCTTGTCCAGGATAGGTAATATGCTAATCTGGTCGGATATAGTACCTGTCACACATGCTCGTGAGTAGCTCATTCGAGATATGTACGTCACACAGCCGTAATTGTATCAATAATGATTCACTGAATGCAGCTGTCCTTCTTCGGGCTCCGCTAAACCTGTCTTAACATGCTTGTCTGAGTTGACTTTCAGCTCGACAAAATCCTCTCTTGCTATTGTCTGTACACGTGTCAACATAGGAAAGGTGCAACTCTTTGCCATTTGGGCAAAGATTTGGCAGGTAAAAACATAATGTACAAACTGATACAAGAACATCAACATGGGCCAATGCAATAATGGCACACAGGATTCAGAATAAGGTTCCATTTTTAAGTTAATTTCATGCCATAGTGGAATTCATGTTTACTAACAGAAGGAGGTTTGTGGTTTTTCACACTGTAGAGCAGGACACATGACATGGGGAAGAGGGCCAAGGAATATTTCACGGCAACACCAACCAAAACTCATTCCTTTGACCTCTAACAATAAAAAAATCCTCTGCTCATTGCACAAGATCCGAAGTCCTTATTCACCACTGACCTCAATCACCACTAATCAATCACATCCAACATCACATTAGCACTTTGTTTACCCGGATATGAAGAGAGAGAAACAGCAAAAACAAATGTATTAGCCTCAGTTTATGCAAGCAAACAGATTGACAGCACATGACCCAGTGATGCCCATAAATGAATCCTTATGTAACTATTCTGCGTGGAGACACCATATTTAACCACATTAACAAACCTTAGTTTTGGATGCTCTTCATTGAAGTCTCTGCTCTTCCTGGTGGTCCAGTCTCTCACCTGTAGCACCTTCACTACAATCTCATCCCCTTGCCACCGGCCCTGCCATAACTGCAGACAGAGCAAATGATCATAGTCTAGTAAACAACAGGTGAGCTGAAAAAAACAAAAACAAAAAAAAAAACTGTAAACACTGACTGCAACTGACCTCTCCAGACTGATTTTCATTGATCTTTGCCAGGAGTGAAAGCTGCTTATAATCAATACCAGCCTGCTTGTTGAGGGTCCCATTACCTGTAAGAGCAGAAACGTAAATAATCACACAAATATCCTGATTTGAGATGTTGATTCATTCCTTTTAATGAAATGATACTCACGAGGTCGTGTTCGCATGGTGCCCTTCCAGAAAGTTTCCTTATAGGGGACTTTGGTCATACTCTGGCCCATTTTCTCTGCCTTTTCTAAACACATACGCAAAAAAAGAAGTAACAAAACAAAATAAAGTGGTGAAACTTGAGTTTTGCCAACGTTATGATTTTCTTCTTTCATATGAATAACCTCTTAATGTGTTAAAATGCCCACAAATAATTTCTGACCTTGAAGGAGCTGTTTTAGGTGAGGCTTGGCCTTATCCAGAGGTGTCTGTCCATACCTGTTACATACACACACCTGGGCACCACTGGCCACCAAGTCCTAAAACCAGGGGTTAAACTGTGTTATGTATGTACAGATTGGATTACGAGCACAGGTTCTGGACTGGAAGAACCTATATACATTTTTTAAAAAAGAAGTGGAGAATCTCTGTGTGTGTATTTCAACTAACCTCTGCCACTTCGTCTTGACCCCAGAAGCAGGCGTAGTGGAGTGGTGTGTTTCCATGCTCGTTGACTGTGTTGGGGTCTGCTTTGCACTGAATCAGCTGGCATTCACAAAGTTAGAAAGTTAGAAAACGGAGCAACAGGGGCAAGTTTTCTCCCCTCAGACAGTCTATAAACAACACACACACGGCCCAGTTGTTACCATATATGTATGTCTGACTGTGTTTACCTTAGCCACGATGTCTCTGTGTCCATGACTGGAGGCGAGATGCAATGGGGTATCGTCACCACGGTTCATCACGTTAATACGAGCACCTCTCATGATGAGCATGTCAACAACACCGCTCCTCCCTTCCCTGCATGCCCAGTGGAGGGGGCTGAAGCCATGGTCATCACTAAAGCACAAGAAACACAAAGAGAATGAAGAGCAAAGAAGGAGATATCCTAAGATAATTAGCTTGGCAATCTTTAAGCTGTGATAGACCTGCTTTTTAACACTTTAAAATCTAACAAGATTGTCTTCA